CAAATCGCACACGTACCCCCATAGATTGTCATTTGCCAAAACCATGGGTATATCCGAACAAATATTCCGAACCACACACTCTGCACACCGTCGGCAGAACGGCACTCTGCACTGCCCACACAATGCTCGTTCCCCAGTGCCCGCTCCCGCCCTCGTACAAGCATGACACCGCTCCACATCTTCTGGACAACATACCACGCGGACCTCCTGCAAGGGGCTCTGCAAAATTATAGTCCTAACCCACTCTCTCTCCAATGCAAGCATGCACCCTGGTCCACGGAAAGGGTTGTCATTGTTGTCACCGTCCCCAGCATACCGCGCCTTAAATTTGTCAAAGCCAAAATGCAACAAGAAATTGCGCTCGTTCCGATTCCGGAACCGTTCCAAAGATTCGCTGATGGAGTACATACCCAAGGGACTGCAAGAAAAACGTGCTTCTTTGTGTTCGGTCCAACGTCGACCATCACCATCTTCATGAAGTCCGTGCTGCCCCGGAGCATACTGGGACGTCCACAAAGGGACGTGTGCATGCTTCTGCGCACACCCGAAACAGATCCTCATGCTCACACCTCCAAGTACACGGTGAAGCCCCCGTAGCAACTGCCGATCTTTCGCGACACCAACACTCGGCATGCCTTGCCTCTCCCGTACACGGAGGGCAGCGATGTAGTCTGATATCACTCTCCTGAAAACGTCCCCTTCCTGCCGCCCAGTCTGACTCGCCCGTTCCGGCGGACTTTGTCGATCCCACTCGGCGAACTCCTCCTCGAATGCAGCGCGATGGTCTTTCTTGATGTGGCAGTACAGTGCCCACTCCATACTCCACTGCCTCAGCCCCTCTGCATCCATATCTTTAGACCAGGTACACCCCTGAAAAGCGCACTGCACCAATGGAAATCGCATCCCAGTGTGTACCTGCTGAAACGGCTTCATCGGGTCCATCGGGTCACACGGCAACAAAGGTGACTCTCGCAGCATGCCGGCAACCCGTTCGATACGATGCACTGCGCGATCTTCCCCGGTTGTAAACGACTTCGTTGCGTCGACCTGAACGTCGCTGACATCGAGACCATCGCTTGCATCGCTTAATGACTCGCAGTCTGCGGCTGGCCCCGGATCAGCACTGCCGCCGCCGACATCGCTCATCTCTGCGGGTGGCGCCGCGCCCACGCCCTCGCATTCCTCCGAACTACTTCCCGAAGAAAAGTGCCCATCCTCCGAGTCACCGACACCGTCAACGTCCTCGGCTTACAGCGCGCTAGTAGTCAGACAGGCGAGGATTCCCAGAAACAAGTCAAACACTCTCCGGGAATTCCCGGCCGGCCCCGAAACATATTTCCCAAGTATCTCCGGAGAATTTCTGGGAAAACCTCCGGCCCTGGAAGCTATTTCCAAAATATTTCCAGACAATATCCGGCAAACTTCCGGCCCCGGAAATAATTTTCCAAAGTATGTCCGATGAATTTCCGGAAGTTCCGGCCCCGGAAAATATTTTCGAAATATTTCCGGCGAATTTCCGTAAAACTTCCGGCCCCTGAACATACTTCCAACATATTCTCGGAGACTTTCCGGAAAACTTCCGGGGAAACTCTCCGGGGAGGGATTTTCAGACATACTTTCATTATCAATTGTCAAAACGCCCACTGTCTGATGCTTGCGCACTATAATCCTCGGCGCTCTCCCACTCCGCGCTGCTCAACAACCGAGAGAAGTGGCCAAGCCCCGTGTCGACGTCTGTAGTGAGGACCACTGCGACTGGACGCTGTTCGCCCACATAACGCCCAAAGCTGGATGGCATCTCCGCAAACGTCACACCCTCCTCGCCGTCCACCTCGAGAACGAATACTTCCACGTTCGCATCCGCGAAAGACGCAAACATATACAACTCGCCCACTGAAAACCAATACCGACCGTCAGCCCACGCACGCCGACATGCTGTCCACGCCTCTGTTGGGGTACACTCGGACGGGATATCCGGCAAACGCTGAGCCTCCCAGCGCGTTTTAAGCGTAGCCGCCACTCCGACAAGGGCATGTGCGAGCTCGCTCCGCCCCGCCTGCGCCATCTCAGCCTGAAACCGATGCAGCGTGGACATAATACTCTTCACGCCCTCCTCAGATGACCCGTGGACATTGTTCAAAAATAGTAGCCTGCGCAAGCTGCGACTCTCATCCACGTGCCCCTCGCACATGACGTCGAAGCGAGACCTGCTGTGGTACGTTCTAGACGGCCTGAACAACTCCAAAGGATCGCTCACCACCCCGTCCAGGATGAAGCCCAACTTCTTCGAGTCCTGCTCTGAGACGTACCCCAGGGCCACGACTAAATGCTTCAAATACGGTCGGTTCTCCATCTCGAACATCGCCACACTCCTATGAACGAGGTCTTCGGACAGCACTTCGATCACGTTGGTTTCCACGAGCTTGAGCTCAGCGAAGTCCTCCAGACATTCCCGCCGCTCTGCGCTTAAGGCCTCCCAGATCACACCTGCACCGCGACTTTCAGCTGGCGTCACGGGCTCCCCCCGGGCGCGGGCCATGGCGAACATCACCTGGTCCGCCCAAACAAAGTCAAGCCATATCTTCAATGCGGTGGCCGCGTCCCCGTCGACCTGACCTGCCTCGTAGCTCACTGGAACGTTCATGAGTACTCTGTCCCGGGCGTTCTCACAATAATACCACGTACCACTCTGGCCCACTTCCTCCGTGACTACGCCCCATGCACTGTGCAGAGCGCAGGCTCCATCACCGCACGTGCGAGCAGCCATGTGAATGCCCCGCCCAGCGATATCGGCCACCAATGTAGGCCTCGGCAACAAACGTTGATCCACCACATTGACTTCGTCCCTGATCGCCGTTTCAATCCGAACGGCCGCGTTCCGACCCAGCGAACACGAATGCACTCGCTCGCCGCCCCGATACCGCACCCGATGACCAACCCGATCTGGCGAGTTCTACACGAATCTGATATCATAGAGCCCGGAGACCTCCGACACCAGATGCCCAGGGCCCTACAACTACCAGCCTCCTAACCCACAACTATGAGTTTCGGAGCCACCATGCCTTCTCGCCACTATATCCCAGCCACACCCCCCCAACCCCTCAAGTTGTCCATAGACTCCTCCCGCAGGACTCCCGCGGAGAAGACAAGGTGGCAAGGCCAGCTGAATCCCACCCCACCATATTGCATGACAACGCACGGAACTCTCTGTTCTAAGTTGATCAAGCCTTGCTAAGCTCGCCGCACGGGCGTCGGGCGCCCTGCGAAGCCGCCACCACTACCAGTATCTTTCCATTTGTCGCGCTGCGGCATCGACGTGCAACACGATGACGCGCCTCAGCCTCGACCGCGCGCGCTGCCCGGAGCGCGCAGATGCGATGCTTATGGCTGCGTCCCAATTCGGGCCAATCGCAAAGCACTGCGGCTTCCCCCTACCCTTGGCCCGGTCCCTATTCGGCAGCCTTTTTCTACTTACAGTCTCCACTACACTAGGGCGGCCGATTTTGCTACAATGCTGTCTGGGGTATCAGAAGGCCCACCAGGCTGAAATCATCAGGAGAAAGCTAACGTTACTGACACCCGCGCCCGATGGTCCTAAAGGTTGCCGCCCAAGGGCTTGTATCAGTTTTGTTCCCTGGATAAATGTGCCACACCTGCTTGATCTCCTATCTCCTACTACACCTTTCCACACATAGGCCTCTGACTTCGCCTCTCCCTCATCCGTCGATGTGCCCTGGTGTACCCCTTCCCTCTCTCCCTAGAAGACGGGCCCCATCTGTTGCAATCCTCTCTGAGACATGAGAGGGCACATCGGGCCAAACCCCTCGGCGGAAGTACATCCTCACTACAACGACGGCCACATGATCCGGAAACCCCCCAACAAAAAACTATACCCGCTCCTAGGGCGTGAGAGGGCTCAGCGGGCAGAGACCCTCCAACGAAATGAAGCTTCTCTGAAGCAACGGCCAGACGTTCCGGAAATCCCTGGCAGCTACAGGGTCGGGATTTCATCCCCTAGCTTTCTGTTGCAAACCACATGCGACCCTGTCATATGGCTGATACGTAGACCGCCCAGGGACCGCGCCCAAGGGCATCGGCATCTATTCCCTCCAAACCCCACGTTCCGACCAGTCCGACAAGGCCAGATAGGTGCGAAGGCCGCCTCATTACACGTCCTTCCAGGCAGCCCCCCTCCTTAACAGAGCACACTGCCCTCATATTCAATCTGTCTCGGGCCCTCCTGCTACCCTCGCATGCTCTCACCGCCTGACACTTCTCCCCCCGCCCCGCCATCAGAGGGCGGGCCGATATTGCTACAATCTCTCCTCGGGGCTGAGGGAGGCGCTCATAAGCATCTTTCCAAGCACGACCTCTTGCTGGAACAGGCCCGGACTAAACTCTTGCATGTTGATCAACGGCAACCCTACCATCTTACCATATCTCCGGACCCTCCGAGATGAGCCTGGCCCATTCTTCTACAACCTGGCTCCCACCTGCTACCGTCCATCCCCTGTCGCCGCTTGGTCTGAACCGGGCCCGTTCCTCCATCATGCACTGCGCGCGCCCCACGCCGGGACCTCCAGTGACGCAGACGTACCGCTCAGGGCCCAGACCGGGCTCGCCGAGCGATTTCGGCGACGACCGCCCTTTCCAAACAATCGCTTGAGCTCCCGAACGACGCTTCCTCTGCTGCCGCGACATCCCTGCAAACCCTGCAATCCCCTGCCCGCAGTGCACGCAGCGCTCACATTTTTAGCAACGCGAACCCCGCCACTGCATACGAGACTAAATTTCAGCGGGGCCAAGCAGGCGAAGCGCTGCGAAAGTCCGCGGCGCCACGCCTGAACGTTCTGTTGGAGCTCGCTGGTACGAGCTTGGGCCCACCCCTCGGCGCCAGGGGCAATTACAATGATATCATACACGCACGGGGCCTCTGGCTGGATCACGCTCCTACAGGCTGGGACCCGCTCACACGGGCTGGGGGGGGCGCTCTTACCCGCTCAGTGATCGCTGATCTCGCTGCGCACGTTCGGGAACTCCTCCTCTCCAAAGGCGCTCACAACCTTACGGATGTGGCACGAATCCGCTTTCGTCTCCTTGAGGCGGAGGACGACCGGGGTCTTCTTCAGAATGTCAGTCACGATGTCCTTCAGCATGTCGATCGCCTTCTGGGTGTCGGTGAGGTCCACGTGCTCGATGATCCTGAAAAACTGAGGGTACTCGGACATGGGGCTCTTGAAAGACCGACCTGATATTTTGTGCTCCACGAAGCCAGACTTGAAAGGCATAGTGTTGCCAGCGAAGACCCAGTGGGCCTTCGACCCGTCAGCGGTGAGCTCGAATTGCACGATGACAACTCTGCGCGGGAACGTTGGCGGCGGCACTCCAAACACCGATACGCCCATGGGCTTGCAGGTCTCCTCCTCCTTGATCTCGAAGACGCACTTTAGCTCATCCTGCGTAGCGTCGACGACGGGCTTCCACGCGGCCTGCGATGGGACGTGAACCATGATCTTCGGTTGCGTCGGCGTTGTGATGCTGTCGAACTCCTCGTCCTGGAACTTGAAGCGCCACGCAATGACCTCGTCGTAGTACATGAGGAAGTCCTTAATCTTCGCAGCTGGCACGTACCACGCAGCGGCGTTTTTGGCCCAGCCGACGCCGTCTTCATCGGTAGACTTTTTCGACGTGTACGAGAAAGCCGCCTGATATGTGTCAAGGACTTCATCCAGGCTCTTCGGCGGAGACTCCCCGTCATCAGCCGAGTGCTGGGCGCCGAACATCTCCACAACTTTTTTCTGCATGCACAGAGGAGATGGAGTGAGGCTACAAATCGTGGCGGCTTGAATCAAGGGGCCCGTCTCGAACTGATCGCCGTACTTGCTGCCGTCCTGCGAGTATTCCAGGCAGACGACGTGCACCGCATCATCGCCTGGAACGCCCCGCTTGTCGAAGCTCGTTTTCGCCCCCTTAGTCGCCGGACCCATATCAGACAAGGACGGGATCTCCATGACTCCGCGCTTGCCTGGCGCGGAGCCGCGGCTAGAACCGGAACCGCTGCCGGAAGCACTCGCCTTCTTCGGAGCGGGAGCCTTCGCCTTCCCCATGCTGCGCGCCGGCCCTGCTGATGAAGCAGCTTGCGCCGCGCTGACACCAAACTCTTGATGGAGAGCAAGCTCGAGCCAAACGTCTATAGGTGCTCTCGAACTCTTCTCAACCCGTCGACTACTTAGGCCAACTCTCGTGGACATTGCCGACCATACTCAAACATCATCCATGCAGTTACACCCGGCTTTCAACAAGCACGGCCCTGGATGCAGTCACTACGAACGTATGCGGGAGGTGGTGCGCCTAATATTTTCGCCTGAGCCGGTGACATGGATGGCATGCTCCATCCACATCGACTGCATCACCTCCTCTATCGGCCTTTCCTTATACTGAGATCGCCACACAGGGGATTGTGGCAATTTTGGCCCGGCGTGTTTTGGAACACCTCTGACAGATCTTTTCAATGGATCAGACGGCACCCCCTCCACTGCACCTGGCACCCTAGATCAAATGGCATACCCCCCCCCCGAAGCCAGCACCCCGGCTCAAACGGCAAACCCTCGACAAACCTAGCACCCTGGATCAAACGGCAACCCTCCACTACGCCAGACCCCCAGGAGCACACGGCAAACCCCCACCGCAGCCACCTTCTGAAAGCAAACGGCAAACTCCACCAAAACCACCACCCAGGATCAAACGGGAAACCCTCACCAAACACAACACTCTGGATCAAACGGCGACCCTCCACTGCACCTGGCACCCTGGATCAAACGGCAAACCCTCACCGAAGCCAGCACCCCGGAGCAAATGGCAAACCCTCGCCAAAACCAACACCCGAGATCAAACAGCAACCCTCCACTACGCTCAAACGCCCCAGAACAAAGGGCAAACACCCACCGAAGCCACCTCCCGGAAGCAAACGGCAAAACCTCACAAACGCCAGCACCCTGGATCAAACGGCAAACCCTCACCAAGGCAAGCACCCTGGATCAAACGGCAACCCTCCACTACACCTGGCACCCTCGATCAAGCGGCAACGCCCCACCGAAGCCAACACCCCGGATCAAACGGCAAACCCTCCCCAAGGCCAGCACCCTGGATCAAACAACAACCCTCCACCACACCCAAACGCCAGGAACAAACGGCGAAACCCCACCGAAACCACCGCCCGGGGCAGACGGCAAAACATCACAAAAGCCAGCGCCCTGGATTACGGCAACGCTCACCACGGCCAGCACCCTGGATCAAACGGCAACCCTCCACTGCACCTAGCATCTTGGAACAAAAGGGGACCCCTCACTGAAGCCAACACCCCGGATCAAACGGCACACCCTCGCCAAACCTAACTCCCCAGATCAGAAGGCAACCCTCCACTACGCCCAACCCTCAAAAGCAAACGGCAACCCCCCTCAGAAGCTACATCCCGATCCCGCTTTTGCATTGGGTGAGACTGCCCTGTTTAATCCCCCGGTACCAAACGCTCCGTGCAGTTTTGGGTAGAGGTGGCCCCAGAGGGAGCTCCACCGATGGCCTCAGTGGCGCCGCCCGCATGTGGGTGACACCCCGTTTCGGCACACCCCTCACACGTCATCCCCCCGCTGCACCCAGCACCCTGGATCTAACGGCAAACCCCCGCCAAACCCAGAACCCCGGATCAAACGGCAACCCCTCACTGAAGCCAGCACCCTGGATCACACGGCAACCCTCCACTACACCTGGCACCCTCGATCGAGCGGCAACGCCCCACCCAAGCCAACACCCCAGATCAAACGGCAAACCCTCCCCAAGGCGAGCACCCTAGAACAACGGCAATCCTCCACCGCACCCAACCGCCAGGAGCAAACGGCGAAACCCCACCGAACCCACCGCCCAGGGCAGACGACAAAACCTCACAAAAGCCAGCGCCCTGGATCACAACGCTCACCACAGCCAGCACCACCCCTGCCGCACCCAGCACCCTGTATCTAACGGCGAACCTCCACCGAAGCCACCACCCCGGATAAGACGACAACCCCTCACCAAAACCACCACCTGGGATTCAACGGCATCCCCCCGCTACACCCAGCACCCTGGATCTAACGGCAGACCCCCCCCCAAACCCAGAACCCCGGATCAGACGGCAACCCCTCACTGAAGCCAGCACCCTGGATCAAACGGCAACCCTCCACTACACCTGACACCCTCGATCAAGCGGCAACTCCCCACCCAAGCCAACACCCCGGATCAAACGGCAAACCCTCCCCAGGGCCAGCACCCTGGATCAAACGACAATCCTCCACCGCACCCAACCGCCAGGAACAAACGGCGAAACCCCACCAAAACCACCGCCCGGGGCAGACGGCAAAACCTCACAAAAGCCAGCGCCCTGGATCACGGCAACGCTCACCACAGCCAGCGCCCTGGCTCAAACGGCAACTCTCCACTGCACATGGCACCCTGGATCAAAAGGCACCCCCCCGCCGGAGCCAGCACTTCGGATCAAACGGCAACCGTCCACTACGCCAAACTCCAGGAGCAAACTGCAAGCACCCACCGAAACCACCTCCCGAGAGCGAACGGCAAACCCTCACCAAAGACAGCATTCTGGATCAAACGGCCAACCCTCACCGAACCCAACACCCAGTACTGATGATGGAAATGTAATGATGATGATTATACACTTGGCGTCTATTCCTCATCCTCTACTGAGTCGTCACTGCTCTCTGAATCCGCAAACTCAGACAAGCCAGCAATGATTTCCAAAATACGTTTGTTAGGCAGCAAATGGTAGGGGATTGGCCGCTCAGCACCCCGAGATACACACTCGTAGGCTGCCAGAATGCGGCTCTGGGCACAAGACCAATATTGAGCGAGCGCGTGGTCAACGCTGCTCTCCTCAAATCCTAACTGGTTCATGTCGTACTCGACAGTTTTCCCTGTGGATAATGAGACTGCCACTGGTTTCTTGCCCGTTCTGAGGGCAACGTCTTTCATGTTTTGAATAGTGTCTTTAAGATATGCCACCATCTCGTCTCGACTGATCTTTGTCAGTCTCCAAAATTGGGCTGCCCCAGGCCCGTCTGGGATTTTTGATGTTTCTTCTAAAGAAATATTTGCCAATATGTTGTGCACGCGAAGAACCTCAATGACATTCTTGACCGAAAGCGCTCCGAATCCTTTCTTTGATTTTAGTACTGCTATCAGGCTGGTCATGCGAGCCATGGAGTTGTCTGGCCCTAGCGCCACTATCGAAGCAATAACGCGTGCCTGTTCCACAGTAAGAACGCGTTCTTCATAAATTTGCGTAACTAAACTTATATAATTGTGCTCTTTCTCTCCTTTCAAAAAGTCCACAAGCTGCTTGTGCCAAGATTTTTGCTTCCCCTGCCCGAATCGGCAAGTCACCGGAATAATGCCGCGGTTATCCGCGGACGCCCTCCATCCGAGCGTAATTTGGCGAATGATGATGGTGGTGGCATCATGGCGATAATGACCATGGCAACGATGACCCGACGATGATGATGATCACGAGAAGACACATGAAGAGGAGGAGGAAGATAAGGATGATCACCATCACAACGAACGTGAAGGGGAAATCAAAACGAGACATGCACGGAGGACGGCGGCGAATGAGCTAGATTCTCCCGGATCGCTCGTGGCGACGTCCACACCGCACGACGTCCACACCGCATTGAAAGTACCAGATGCACAGGCCGCCATCAGGCACGAGCCCTAAACGGCCCCAGGGGTGCACGCAACATCCAGACGCAGAAACTCACGGGGGGACAACCAGGACAGGGGAAGCTGTCAGACGAGGAGAACAACACGAGAACGATGCGAAGGAATAGGAAAATACCACGAAAACGAAACCAGAGGACGACCGAAGCGTTGCATCACAAAGCTGCGCGTTGCGCAGCCTGGCATCGCGCAGTGGAACAACGAAACACCGCACTGAATGGCATGGCGTGACACCCGGCTTCTTGGCGGGTAAGTGCATCGATTTTGAACGACCAGGGCCCGTCTGGAGTGACGGCTTCACGTCCTGCCCCCTGGGCCCCCGAAGCTCTGCACGAGGCGGGACTGATGGAAGGAACAAGCGGGCACATGCCGAAGGCACTCTTATAGCAGCTCTGGGCAAATTTCCTGGGACTCATTCGGGCCAACTCCAATAACTTGGACTCGTTCTTTTCGAAATGCGCCAGGAAACTGAACTCCAAAAAAAAGCTGGCCATCATGATTTTCCTTTCAGTATTCCCAGCGTTCTTTACCAAGTTGATCGTGCATGCGTGCACTTCGTCCCGCTTATTGAAAGGACTATGACAGTGCATCCGCGCCATCGCCTTACATAGGTTGTTGAAAGGCTCTGCGCCGAACCTGTCTTTTTTCGTTTTTTTCTGCCGAAGGCCTCTGCACCGAAACTGCCCCGGCAAGTTCCTAAATAAAAAGCATTGGCGTGCGAACCGGCCATGAATGCGAATTTCTGACTGTGCACACTCTTCGTCCCTCAATATGCTGCTCTTCTCAAAAAGGGTGCGGATAATCATGGAAAGCAAAAATAACGCCTTGTGGTAATTTCGAGTCCATTGCCCCAGGGCAAACGCTTTGGTACGACGAGAAATGTGCACAAAGTGAGTCCCTTGTT